TCTCTCTCTCTCTCTCTCTCTCTCTCTCTCTCTCTCTCTCTCTCTTGTAATCCTTGGACGCTCACACTTGCTCTCTGAATGCACCTGCAACTGCCGAACTTTGCCTCTCTTCTACCCTACTTCAACCTCGCGGCTGTGGCCGCCGTCTTCTTCCTTGTCAACCCTAATTAAGGGGCCCGATCGCCCTTCGTCTCCTTTGTCTCCTTCGTCAACTGACCGTCCAGTTGCTCCTTCGTCAACTGACCGTACATCAGTGCTTCTGCAGCATGCGAATTGACAAATGACCCGGTGAAGCGCTGGCAGCTGAGTAAAATGTTGTCGGCTCCGGACTGGTACCGGGCGATGCGGCCTGTCCTCTGCAGTTTGCCAGTTCTGGAACTTACCGGACGTTCCCAAGATTCTTCCGCAAAATTGGACTTTGGGACTGCAGACTTTTCTTGTCGGGTACCGGGCCTATCGCTTCTAATGACCTAAACTACTGAACCCCACGGGCTTATTACGCTTCGGCTTCTACGCCCTACTGGACTCCTAAGCCCTTGGACGTCGGACCTACCGGGACCAACCTCGACTGGGCCCAGGTGGGACTCTGGGACCCAGGACTCGGGACACGGACAACCCGTGAAATCCTTTCAAATTCCTTAGGCCCAGTGAATCAAGCTCACCCCCTGGGTCCAAGGGAACTGGGCTGATTCTCTGGGTCCAAGCAAATTGGATCCATTCGTTGGGCATGTTCCTTGGGGTCTAGGAGGTGCATGTGCTTGTATACATTTGCTCTGGTTTAGTCTAGGTGCCAGGATCAAGTGTGAAATTGTACAGTTTTCAGGTTGCCTTAATGGGTGTTATCGTGTTGCCAAACTGTTTGGGATGCTCAGAGACTTTGCACAATGCATCTCAGTTCTTTCATTAATGAGACGGAAAGAAAGTATGAAAAGGAATCAATCAATGGAGTAATAGCAAATTGTTCTAGTTGACTAAAAGCCGTTATGAATTCTCTTTTTTTTTTTTTTTTACGGAGCTTTTGATGATCGTTCTCTCAAATATATGTGCCCTATATGATGTCTCAAGCCATAGGGTGATCGAAAAGTTTTGTTTTTCAGTTTCGTAGCATTTGTGTCTGTTTATCGATTGCCAAGTATGTGTCGGACAAGTGCCTGCTAGGGACTGCTGCAACTTTTCCTGAGTCCATTTTCTGCGCTGCTGTGAGTTCGTGTCATTTTCTGATCATATATGCAGAGGGTTTGTATTTAGGACCCTTCACTGTAGTCACTACATCTCTCCCCTTCTCATAGACCTCTGCCTGTCCTCATCCATCTGTCTTCCTTGTGTCTTTTACTGATTTTTTGACCGATTTGCCTAAATTCCAGAGTCAAAAGTTCTCTGAACTTGTATTCGTTAAGGTGATTGTAAGGCTCCACACTGTCACAGCCATCAAGTCATACCAGTCCTTTCGTTGTTTCCAAAGTGCCTCGCATTTGGTGGTCTGTTCATTCAACTTCGTTGGCCTCGTGGACAGCCTATAATGTATTTAAGCCGATTTTTATGCATATTTTACGGCGAATTTTATGCATATCTGCCCATTATCGCTGGCTGGTGTTTTAAATCCTGCGATGCATCTCGATCGTCATTTCATTTGTTCCCTCGAAGCGAGAAGGGGTCGGAAATGTACCGTATGCTTGTGTTTTGTGCAGACAACGCACGAGTGACGAGTGAGAGGGGGTAATATTAAAGGTATGTGCGATGTTAATGTTCTGGAGTGCAGAGAAGTGCTATTTGTCTGACACGTTTTTTTGTTTTTTTTGTTTTGTTTCGCAGCTCAGTTTGTACACCTATGAGCTCTTGAGATACAGACCCAAGTTCGAATCCAGATACAATCAGATGATAGCTCAAGACTATCGCCCCCCTTGTGGGGGGTATTTGGAATCCTGCCCTCTTTTATTCTGTCAATAATGACTCAATATTTAATATTACCTTTACACGGGCAGCGGAGAAAGTGTTAAGCCCCACCAGCACCTCCGAGCCTCTTTTTAATGCGGTGGATTTCCACTGTGTGCCAAAAAGAACGAACCGCTATAGCGTACACCGAACAGGTGCATTTTCGTTTCCGTTTTGGTTGGCATGGTAGTCAATTTGGTCCGGGGGGGAAGAGAGGGGGGGGTGAGAGGTACTGGTGGTTTATGATGAGGGGGGTTGTGAGACGAGGGAGATGGGATGGCCCTGTTCTTCTCTGATTTGCGTCTGCTGGCTTTTGCAGGTGTTATATCGACCAGTGCCGGATGTCAATGGAATTCCTGGAGCGGAGACGTTGGCTGTTTGTCTCACCGGTTATGAGAAGCCAGCAAGGATAGAGATTGAGGTGAGGACTCTGTTCGTTACCTTGCTTACTTTGGGACTTTCACACTTGGGAGTCGGGACCATGTTCTTCTGGATTGAACTTGTGCTGAGGGCCTGGATGCGTGTTTTCTTTCTGCCCATAGCACAACTGGCTAAAAAAAGAAGTGGCGGGGAGGGGCTGTGTTCTTGTACCACTATCTGGCACCTTGGAGTCCGCAGGGAGATGAGTCAAGTTGGCACGGGCAAGTGGGGCTACTATGTTTCTGTTAAGAGAGCATGAACCTGGGCATATTAGGACACAGGTGCATGCTGCCCAGGTTCATGCTTTCTAAGCACACAGTAGCAAGGGGTCTAACTCTGAGACATTGAGAGGGGGCTGGTGGCTTGTGGCTCTAAACTACTGCGCTGTCGAAAGGCATGAAATGGACTGTGATCTGATGGAGTTGAATCAAACTTACCAACGACTATTGTCATCTCCCCCCCCCACCTCTTCCTCCTCCCCCCCAACAACAATACCCCTTCTATTCTGGGGGGCGTCGTTCCGGTTGCTTATCACCGGCAAGCATGTTTTTACAGCCAAAGAGGGAGAGAGAGATGAGAAGAGGGGATCGGCCTATCCCTTGTGGCACTAGTCGCCTAATGAAGAGGGGGGAGCTGCTGCGGAGCATCCCGCCCCCCAAACTGTGGCCCTTCTTGGGGGGCTGTCCTGCTGGCCGGGAAGCTTACTAGCAGCACCCAGTCACGTTGCAGGATAATCTCCAGAAGGGCAGGGCGCCGTTGGGGCGTTCCTCGCAGTCCCACAGGCCGCGTATCGCCTTGCCATCACCATGCCATTGTCTCCACGGTTGTATTCTTACTTGTCGGGTTTCTCCAGTCCAATTTGAAATAGAACTGTTGGCAATGAGTGCAACGGCGAATGATAAGCAATCTGCTCAGAGGCTTGACCTGATCAACTATCCCAGGAGAGACAAGGCACACTATTTTTTTTGCTGGTCCTTTGAGAAAGACCAGCAAGCAACACTTTTTTTTTTTTTTTTTCCCAAAGGCGTCAGCCTTGAGTTATCATCGTGAAACTGACCGGCCCCAGGTGATTCAGGGATTTCGTTCATCTGGTTCCATCGGGAGACTGAGCTAAGCCCGTTGGTGACCAGCAAGCAACACTAATTTGCGGGAATCATTGTGAAAAACATCAAGAAAGACTAGTTTATGTTCGGTTTTCAAATAACAGTGAACGGTTAGGCTTCTCTGCGAGCATACAAACTGAAAATGTACAATGTAGATGTTTGAGTCAGATGTCTTAGGAGAAAGAAGTGCAGGTGGAGTAGTGGTTTGCCTGGTCTAAAGCCTCGTCTTTTGCTGATCAATGTAGGTGCCTGTGTGCCCCGTGACTCGAACGTTGTAGGGTTGCCTGCCTCCTCTCTTGCTCCGGGTTTTGCACAATTTCTGCACGTAAATTGAGGCTGCGTTTATCAATTCTCTGTCTACAAATAGTTCTAGAAGTTTCAACAGGAGTGATTTAAAAAAAAAAAAAAAAAGGAGTGCGATCATACGACGATGAGGTAGTGGTTTGCAGTGTGCAGTGGATAATGCACATGGCTGAAGCAGATATTTTGTGTTTTGGAGGTGTAGTGAGCACACTCGGAGAGTGACTGTTGCGAATGGGTTGCCCCGCTTTAATGGTAATGGATGGTCACACATGTTCACTATTTTAGTATTTTTACTATTTTTAATTTTTTTTTTAGTAAATTAGTGTACGTCCCACATTGGTACTACTGAAGAGTAGCGCAGTTGATTGGTTGTCTGTCAATGATCGGCAATGAAAGACCGTTCCAATTTTATTTTTTTAAGTGGCAAGCTGCAGTCGGAAAAGTTTTGTGACTGTCTTCAGTAGCGTCTTCTCTCTCTACTACACAGAGACAAGCAGCAAATGGTACTACTGTCGTCCCCCGAACATAGAGCATATGCGTCATAAACAAATACAACGCATAGGTCGCTTTCTAGTCGAATACCATGCACATGGGTTCTATCCGAACAGCCCTTCTATTCGAATACAACGCATGTGCGTTCTATTCAAATCATCAGTTTTTTTTTGGAAACTCGACGCATATGCATCATGTTCGGGGGAAGACGGTAGCTCCTGTGACATGCCCATACTTGGAGTACCTGGGACGAGTCTGGCAGCAAATGGATTCTGATTTGGGCGCAAAGTTGCCGCAAACGTGCTGGTGTGAGTATGTCTGGAGTAGTTGGAACGCCTCGTTGTAATGGCCAGTAATGAGACAGTTTTCGCGGCTTTGTTGCGATTGTGAGTAGCATGAAACGGTTTAGTCAGCTTCATCAACTGAATGCAGTCTGTGGTGTACTGCTTTGTCTGTTGTTGAATTTGTCACATTATTTATGCATACAGGCGGAGGGGGGAAAGTGAGGTCAAGTATGAAATGGCTTACACAATTTACCAGAGACATTGTTCGCTGATGGGCACTTGCTTCGAAGTGTCAGCATTGGTGTGTACTCACTGTACTCAGTGTACTGTCCATTTAGCCTTTTAATTGTTAAACCACCAGTACTTGGTCCATATATCGGCCGCGGGCCCTTGGCGTATACGTGCTGCACTTTGTGGGGGCTTCGCGGCCAACGATGATTTTCATCAACGGCCTGCGCGGGCTCTTTTTTCGGCGCGCAGGGCTTCCCCACGGTCGGAGAAAGGTGCCTCTGAAGTACTGGTGGCTTAAGTGGATTATAATTGGATTAGTATTATTTAATAACACGGAAAATGTATTGAATATGTGAATCATAAACTGTGAACTGTGGAGGTGGAAGACGCTGGGATGGCGCATGTGCCTGAAAACAAGGAACATTGCCGGCATTTAGTACGGTTCAAAACACGGGCAAAAATGGTAAATCAGCAAATTGAGAATGGTTGACAGCAGTAATGTGGATGGCTTATGACTTTTGAAATTTGTCAGGTTTTTTGTTCCAATCTTGGTAATTTGTGATTGTGATGATGTAGGAGACGGTAAAGCTGATCGGAGCAGGATTTACAAAGCATCTTTCGAAAGATAACACACATCTGATCTGCTACAAGTTTGAAGGTGAGTTTCTTTTTTCCGGAGCTTTCTCAGCTGTGAGGAATGTGTCCTCATGGGGCCCTAGACAACATGCATATGTTCTGGACTGTGGCCCCGAGCAAGCCTCGTGCCCGCCCTAAGTGAAGGCGGGCCTGAATATCCACGAGAGGCCCTTATCTCAGCATTTTCCAATGTGGGTATCAGACAGTGGCTGCACGCCAGTTGGTTGAAGTGCAACCTGGGCCTCACCCTGGGCTCTTCCAGAAGAAGCAGCTGCGTCAGGCAGTTGAGCCCAGGACGCAAGTGGTTGCGCCCTGGGCACACGCAGTGTGAGGCCGACACATCACGAAGTGGCCGCAGGCCAATGAGAATGCAGCATTCCCGCCACACTAACCCCGCGGGCCAATGCAAACACAGCAAACATTCGGAGCCTGGATGATCCTGGGTGTGCCGAACTGAAAAGGGCCCAGGCCGACAACTGTAGACATGGGCCTGGGCGCAGACACTGGGGGCCGACCAGAAGCTACTGGAAACTTCCACGGCCAGGCAGGTGAACTCTTGATTCGACTATCCCTAGTTACGTGCGTATCGCTACATGAACTATATTCTTGTTCTTCGTTTTGTCTTTTTAAACACCGCTTTATTACCAGGGCTTAATTGCAAGGCATCAAAATGATAGAACTCCAAAGCAAGGGACAGGCAGGTAGTCCTGCCCTACTGAGAGCTCAGAGCCCCCTCCCTGCAGAAAGGTGGGAAAATGCGGGAACTGTTATGATCATGGCCAATTTCGAGATACACATTCATCAAATAGTACAATGCTGTCCAATTGCAGAAAGAAATGAATGAACTTGAGAGGAGAGAGAGGGTAAGAAGAAGAAGAAGAAGTAAGAAAGAAGAAGAAGATGATGTACACCAATATAGACAAAAGATAAAGCTCTTCTTCTTCGCTCAACTCCTCCTTCCTCCTTATCTCCTCCTCTCTTATTCACACATGAAATAATAATACAATGTTGAATAGCTGAACCGGAATCAAAGTCCGAATCCCTCTTCTACTGCAGGTATCACTTGAGGTCCACCATAGCCATGGCCGCCTCTCCCACTCTTCACTCTCATAGGCCGAGGCTATGGCGGACTACTAGGCTTTGCCCAGATGTCCAAAGGACAACCCAAAGTAGCTATGGCTGCCCTAGCTCAGGCCGCCATGCCTGACTCTGCCTCGAAGCTTCTTGGTGTAGCTCAACCCCCGCTGGGGCCTTCCTGCTGCAGCACCCACCAAGGTGATGAAGATGGCTGCCACCATAGCCAGGTAAGTACCTCTGGCGCTCCTCCCCCTTCCTGTCCTTCGTCCTCCTCCAAGTCCTTGCTTCTTCCCCAGCAGCGCTGCTCCAAGCTAGCGCCGCTCCAGCCAGCGCTCCAACCAGTGTGTCGCCAAACTTGCACACCGACAATGAGGCTGGGCTCTTCGCCCGGCCTGGAGATATAGCGGCCTGCTTGCCTCTTGGGCGGTGACTTCCAGGCCGCTCGGCCTTCCCAAGCAACCGGTACCTCCTCCCTTTCGGAGGGAAACGTCATTGAAGACTCGGATATTGCCCGTACAGGCCCTAGACTCAGACTGGTTGGACTGGTACCCGCCTAGACCTAGCCTACAACTACTGGGCCTCTTCAAGATGCCACTTTTGTCTTTTTCTGCTCGGCCTCCAGTACCCGCACATCTACCTCTTCAGGGTGCGGTACCGGCCTACCTGCTACTTGAGTGTTTTCCCCCGCTGCAATCCCTCAATGTCACGGCCACAGGTAAGTACCGGCCCTGAGGGCCCAACGAACGAACAAGTGCCCTTGCGGGCCACACACACACTCAAGCCAACCAGCACTCAGACAGACATGCAGTCCAGCAAGCATGCATACACACAGACTTAGAGAACTTAGTAGCAAGCGGGGAACTCAGCAAGGCATTCAGTCTATGAGCAAAACTCAGAAATCAGCTGTGTGTTTCAGTCCCTGTTTGGCCGGGTCGTCACAGAACTACATTCTTGCCTGCTTAGTATTCGAGTCTGTTGTCAGTGTTTTGGGGCTTTTGGGACTTTTGGGACTTCTGGGACATGCTGGATTCCCACTTACTTATCTCCTGGAATCGATACTGTGCTGTGGTATCATTTACTCTGCTGCAGGGAAGAAATATGAAATGGCGATAAGATTGCGCCTACACGTTGTGAATCACTTGTGGCTGGAAGACAGGTAATTTTATTTTTATTCTCTCTTTCATGCGGCCTTTTGGTTCCCATGCTTTTCGTGAAACGGAAGATGAAGAATACATATGCGTGTTGTCCTTACGCAGGGGCCATGCTAATCTTCTCTGTGTCGTTCCAATTTTAACAGACGTCCCAAAGGACCGGGCCACATTTTCAGTGGCTTGGGAGCCTTTTTTTTCTTTTTTTCTTTTTCATTAGCTTGGGAGGTGCTCTTTTCACTACGTAGTATCAGAAACTGTCTGCTGTTTTACTGAATTTTCAATTTTTAATTAAACCACTAGTACCTTTGCTGAGTGGGAAAATAGCGGGCCTCGGGTGGACCTCCGACCTTTCAGGAAGGCCGAAACGAAACAACGGCTGCCGATGAGATTTATCAATGGCAGCCGTCGTTGGGCCCGGCCTCCAATTTTTTAGGAGTTTGGGAGAACTGCCAGTTTTGAGTTTTCCCTATTTCCCCAACACTGGCGGAAGTGCTAGTGCTTTAACGCAGTCTATTTCTCTCTTCTTATAGTGCTTTAACGCAGTCTATTTCTCTCTTCTTATACCACCTTTTTCCTGCATTGTTTTCTCGGGCTCTTTTTTTTTTCTTTTTTTTTTTCATTTTGAGGCTGAAAATTGGGTCCCTCGTCCCATACAACAAAGACCCATGACCCAACTCTTCTCTTCCTTCCAGTATGGCTAGCGGACCCTGAGACAGCGACATTGATTGCTTCCTTCCTTTCCTGGGAGGATTTACCTGTCCTTTGTGCCTGTTTAAATGTCCCCCCTAGCCTGCACCTCTCAACCTTCATTCAGCCATCTTGAACCACCACTCCAACGGCCCCTGCACTGTTCTTTTTTTTGTCTACAAGACTACAAGTATGAGGCCAAAATCTGCAGTGCCCAGACCCAGTAGAGGTTCAGTGGGGAGCGGTACCATAGTTATGTTTCCTCACTGCAGCACTGTAGATCCTAGGCTCGGGGAAATGCAACTTTGGGTTTGTCAAAATAGGCCCGGACTCCGGACGGAGTGGTGGTTTAAACTTTAAACTTTAAACTTTCTTTGTCTGTCTTTGTTTTCTTGTTGTTTCATCTGATATACCACCTTTCGTCATCATTTTCTTGTTTTTTTTTCTTTTTTCTTTTTCTTTTTTCTAGACGGGCGACGGCCTTTAGATATCATGATTGAACTGACCGGCCCCAGGCAATTCAGAATGATCTTATTCTTTTTTCATCTGAAGGTATCTGGGTTCGAACTTGAGTCTGTATTTCAACAGTTCAGGGGTGTACCAACTGAGCTAGGCCCGTTGGTTCGTTGTCGTCGTCGTCGTCTTCTTTCTGCTGTTTCTAGATTAAGCCACTGCTTGTTAGGCCATAGCAGCACTTCGACTTTTTCGAAGAAATCTGGCGGAAATTGCGCTCACTCGGGCTCGAGAAACTCCTTCTGCTGCGTATTTGCAATTTGTTTTGCTACTTTGAGTCTTTATCTGGTTCAAAATTCAAATGTGTCAAATGGGGTGGATGGTGTTTGAGAGCGGCAAAGGAAGGTGTGTAGTGCAATCACCCCGTACAACAGAAGCGTAATCAAGTCCAAAGCAATGTGTACGGCATAGCCGTCAGGTGTACGCTTGCCTGAGGGGGTGTATCCAGGGCTACGATCTAAGCTGAGAGAGAGAATGAGGCAGAGCGGGCCAAGTCAGAGAGAAGAGCAAGACTGTAGGAAGGAGAGGGAGAAGCCATAGCCGCCGTCCTGTTGAGATCAGTTCTGTGTGTGTTTGCGGCAGAGCCGCTGAAGACTAACATTTCTTGGCTATTGATAATAATTTCAGAGACAACAACTTCCTGTGTTGATTGTATCTCGGTTTGGCTTCTCACGTGTGAACTCTCATGTGAATGTTCATTGGTGTATGCGAGGCGGAACTTGACGAGTACTTGGTTCATTTCGCTAGGGATGACTCAGACAGGCAAGGAAATAGTCTAGGACGGGACAAGCGGCCTCAGGGACTGCCGTGAACGGCCCCCCTGTGCTGCGCCTCCCTGGGGATTCTCCTAATGTGCGCCTGGGTGCTGCTAGTAAGCCTCCGGACCATTAGGACAACCCACTGTAGTGGGGCAAAGGTTTGGGGGTGGGGTGCTCAGAAGCAGCCCCCTCCTTGCTCAGGCTGCTAGTGCCACAAGGGTTAGGCTGATCTTCTTCTCTTCTCTCTTCCGCCCCACTGTCTTTGTACAAACATGCGTGCAACTGGACTGACGTCTCCCAGGACAGAAGGGCCTTTGTATTTTTGTGAAAGAAAAAAAAGAAAAGAATGCCGGTCCCTTATAGTCTCTGAGTCTTCTTCTTCACCCTTAGGCCTCATCTTTGTCCCAATTGTGTCTCCAACCATCCTCCCTCTTGCCCCTTCCTCCTACGCTACAACCAACTATGGCGGTTGCCTACCTGCCTGAGCTCTGTCCGTTCCCACTTTGGTGGCAGCAGAGCAGTGTGGCGACTACTCCTGCTTGAGCTGAGCGCGAGGCAGAATGTGTCATTCTCACAGTGGAGATGTATTGCTTTTTGCCTGGGGGAACTGGGCCCCAGCGGCTGAGCGGGTGGCCACTGCACCCAGTAGGCCATCGACTCATCCGGAAACTATGTCTGCACCATTGGATATCTGTGCGATCTGTGGCCAAATTTGGCTTCTGGATAGTGCGCTGAAAAACTAGATCCAGGGCTGGCTGGGCGGGAAAGTCTGTCGGTTCTGAGAACCGGGGACATTATTCAAACCCTTACCTTGGGCCCTCTCACTTAGACCGACTCCATGACCTGGGGACTGACACGCAGCCTGTGGAATGTGGGTTTGATTTTCTGACCGTGTTTTCATGGAAAGTCTTTTGTCTGTTGTTTCTTTTTCTTTTTCTTTCTTTTGTCTGTTGTTTCTCTTTCTTTGCTCCTGTCAAACACATTCCTCCCCCCCCCCCCCC